TACTTTTATGAGAGTCTTCTTTTTCTTTTAGGGAAGTTTCTGGCTCATACATTCTTCTTTTTCCTTTGTCTTTAACTGGAGATATTTCTTTATCTTCTGTTCATTCAGGTAGTACCTCCTTTCTTTTTCTACTTGAACTACTTGTTAAGCACTCTCCTTTCTCAGTTTGGTCTGATAGTGTTGCTCTTTTCTTTTGTACTTCTTCAAACTCTTGTTTTGCCTGGGCCTCTCTTGCTCCTTTAGTCTTCTTTTCATTTTGTGGTACTTTTTCTTTCTTTGGATTCTCTTTCTCAGTCTTTTCTTCTAGAATTAAATTTAGTTGATCGAATTTGTCTTTTTTCTTTTCTAGTTTTGCCTTAGCTTCTTCATATCCTCTTTTGCAGTCAAAATAGATAATATACCATTGGTTCCTATTAACGAACTTTTCTTGAATTGCTTTAATATATTTGTTTCCTTTTAGTGACCATCTGATTGATTTTTCTCGTTGTTCAGCATTGCCTCCTAAAATTTTAACTGCTGCTACCTTTGCTTTAACTTCTCTTTTCTCTTTACACGCTTCTGGTTTAGGTGCCCATATACTACAGTCTAAAGACATACTGCTATATCTTGCTTTTCCTATCTCTGCTAGTTGCTCTAATTTGTCTTCTATCTTGTTCTTGCAAGGGAAAATTTCTATGCTATTTTCTATGAGTTAGATGTCTTCCATACCTTCTGGCACTTTGTTTTTTCCTTCTTTTTTGGTAGTATTATCTGCTGTTTTTTGGTGCTATAAATCTTGTCTTGTAGGCTTAGCTGATTTAACCTTCATAATTTTTTTTGTTTCTGTTATCTGCTCTTATTCGATTCTCATTTCTACTTCTTCTACTACCTCTTCTATGTTCTCTTGTTGAGTAGTTGTTGATTCTTGTTCTCTTTCTAGAACTTCTTTAACTTTATCTACACCTTCTGTAAAGGCAGCTCTCTCTAGTGCGATGCACCACTGCTTTGCTAAGGTGATTAATTCTTTCTTGATATTCATTGCCTTTGCGACCATTTCATCAAAGTGATCTGTGAGTCCTAGTACCGATGTACTGCCTTCTTGGATAATTTCTTGGCCATACTCTTTAGTAATCTTCTTAATAAAATATTTTAAGCTCTCTGTATTCCACATCTCTTTTCTACTGTTATCTGTTATTTTATTATCTTTGTGCTATCCTTGACTTTAAGATCTTGATTTTTTTTATCTTTATTACTTTTGTTAATTTTTATATTTTTTATATTTTTTTTAACTTTTCTACTTTTTTTAACTTTTCTATTTTTTTTGCTTTTATTATTTTTTTTACTTTTTTTATTTTTTTTATTATTGTTATAAAAGCTATATAAACTCTAAGTTTTCTTTTTTATATAAAATAGTTTTTTATATAGTTCTAATTAGTTTAAAGTTCTTAACATAATTTTTTCAAATTCTAAAGTCTTCTATTAGTTTTTTATAATTTTATTATTAATAAATAATTTAAGCTTTAATTTGATATATATATTTTGATATATATATTTAAATAGTTTTCTTTAGAATAACTCTTTGTAATAATCTTGTATATATATTTAATAAACAAATAAATTTAACTATCTATTTTACAAACTGAGTTTTAGAATATTTAGATACTATATATTTGTTATAAAATCATTTTTAAAAAAGCAAGTAGTTTTGTAATAATATTAGAAAACTTAATCTAAAAAAAATAATTGTTGTTTAAGAAATGATAAATAAAATTAATCTATATATTAGCAATATTAATTTAACTTAATAGCTAACTAGATTTGAAAATATCTTATTAGACTAAAAATAATTTCTAATAGAAAACTATAGTTAAAACTAAAACTAATATAAATATTATAAAAGTTTAATTTAAGTAATCTTATAAAATAGATATAGACTATTCTAGTAAATTTGCTTCAAGATTAACTAGATTTTATAAAATATACTAAAAAAATCTAATTAGTATAAAAGATATATTTAGATTTAGAATTGATTTTAGCAATTTAGAAAAGTTTAAGTATATTAGATTAAAACCTAAAACAATTATATAACCAGAGAGTTTAAACCAATAATCTACAAGTTGGTTATAGGTATAACAACTAGAGTAGAACTTTTAAATAAACTACTTAAAAAAACAATAACTAAAATTGTATGAGTATACTTATTATATAATACAGAATAGATAGTATTTATCTATATATAAAACTAATAAACTTAATAAAATTCTGCTGACAATATAAACTACTTTAACAAAAAAAAAAAAAAACTTCTTTTGAAGCTTTTTTCTAAAACAAGAATTTGGTATTAAGATTAAAATGCAATAATTCAGTTTTTAACAAAAAGCAAAAAATAATTAAAATATAAATTAGCAATTTAGGAATTAGAATATAAAAAAGATTATTTACAGTATTAGTAAAGCAAAATAAAATATTATAAAATAATTACATAAAAAGAGTTTACAAAAAAAAAAACAATTTCTTATTAACAAAAACGGATCTTTTAAAATATAATACAGAAATAAATAATAACGATAATATAATAGTATGAAATTAGATTAATAGTAGTAATTAAAGAGTTATCAATCTTTATAAAGTCAAAATTATTTTCATTTCATGACAGCGAAAACTTCAATGTCCTCGATAGAGAAGTTACCAGGAATACCCACATCAGGATAAGAATGTTTATTTCTATACCAATTAATCATATCCGTTCCCCCACCCAAATCGTAACCACCACCAAAACATGGACCAGATGACATACTATCATGAAAAGCATAAGCTTCATTCGTAACATAACCATGTCTAGTGTTGTTAAGATTTTGAGAATTTCCTAAAGAAAATATAAAACAGTCCGATGAACTAACCCATCTATCATCACCACCTTCCCAACCAATTGGGTTATAACCACCAACAATTTGAAAAGAATTTTTAATCTTAGCAACGACTATAGCAGCACCTTTTTTATTACATTGGTGATGAAATGAAGCAGGATTAATTCCATCTCTGCTACCGCGATATAATAATTTAAAATTATAAGGAGCTTTTTTCATGTTTGTATAGGTAGTAGGTTGTCTGTTGATCCAAGCAGCAAACAATGCTAAATGTTGTTGATTGATAATTATTGAATCAAGTTTAATGGCAGAACGTCGAGCAGGAAAATTATTTAAAAGAGGTTTTGCACCAGAAACCATATGACATCGTAATATATCTTTAACCAGATCCTTTGGTAACAAATTTTCGTATGGAAGAACTCTAATAAAAAAATCATCAGAAGACATTTGATGAAATCGAATTAAAGGTAAGAAATCATTAATGGATCTTTGTACAGTAGCAAAATCATCGGTATTCCATTTAGAGACATCATCACTTAGGTCAGGACTTTTAGAGACACACCATTTGATAAGTTTTTCCCAAATTATAGCTTCTTCGAGATTAAGATCATCACGTCTAAGTAAGGTTGTTAAGATTGGGGCATCCAAAGAATAGAAATTTCCCGAATCAAAAATCAATTCAGGTTCAAGACAAAGTTCTTCTAATAAAAACATTTTTAGGGTGATAAAAGTTTCATGATGGAAAATGGTTTTGAGGATCCCAATGGGATCCTGACGAAGGTAACTTTCTTGATTCTCGATAAGATATTCTTGAGCATGATCGATAAATTTATGCAAACCAAGCTCATCGGCAGCTACTAAGAGTTTTAAGATATCAGAACCATTAAGATTGTCCATATCTATCCTTCCGGTATAAAGAAATCTTATACAAAAGTATGTATAAACACATCAATTCTCACTAAATATTGATAAACTTTTTAGAAGATAAGTTAATTTTTTTACCTTAGAATGAGTTTAAATAAAAAAGCAGAAATATTAGGTTTCTTAAAAATAAAAAATCCTTCTTGTTTCATAGCCCAACTAGCAGAAAAAGCGGTACGGAAGTATGGAGACTGAGCACGTAAAATAACGGCATGTGCACGAAGCTCTTTTATGTTAGGCTCTTCTCCAGCATATATAATAACATCATAACCATCACCAGTTTCAAGAAGTTGTTCATAATTGTTAATAAGATCTGGCCAAAATTTTGATTCCATGATCGTCTAAAAGAGACGAAAGTTTTAAAATTAAGTATGATATCTATATATCAGATATCACTGGCTTATATTAATGTGGTATCACGGATCATATGACTTATTCAGTACCTGCCGCAAAACTTGCTACGTACTCTTGTAATTTTTATACTTTTTGATACATGATGACTAATACGACTGTACTTTCAATAAAATTTTTAATTAAAATTTATCGACAGCTACCTGACCAAATTCGATAATTATTATTATTATTTTATTCCTAGTAGGTGATTGGAACTGCCTAAAATTCTTTAACCGCTTAATCGTTTAATTGTGTTAATCGTTTAATTGTATAATTGCTTAATTCAACTAGCATCCTGCACGAGCCTGATAAAATAATTTTTTGCCGCCTGCACAACTCGAAATTAGGGTTTACTATGTTTTAAAAAATTTCGTCCGCATTTTACTTGTTCTTAGCATTTCAAGCTCGTGATTTTATTATGGCTT